AAGGGGAAGTGGTCCAAGTGCGATGGACAGATGGCCAAGTCTACGGAGCCAAGTTCGTGGCCTCCCACCCCATCCAGATGTACCAGGTAGCCAAAGGTTTTTGCTGGGAACTGGGGGGCACTTGATTAATTCAGTGTTTCCTCTTTGGCCAAAGGTGAGTCTTTGCTCTTGGGAGAGCTTAAAGGTCAGTAAGAACCCTTTTAGAGCTAAGGGCTGTCCTGTGTCCAGTCTGTCAGGTGTGGCTTCAAGCATGGCAGTCCTTCAGTGTTCTGAATCCTTCCGTGACTACAGGAAGTTGCCGCTGTGCATGGTGGTCCAGGGAGAGAGTCAGGGTTGTCTTAGCCAAAGATCTTTGTTTCCTTGGTAGGTGGAGTTTGAGGATGGCTCACAGCTTGTGGTTAAGAGAGATGACGTTTATACTCTGGATGAAGAGCTTCCCAAGAGAGTCAAGTCTAGACTGGTGAGTATTTTTTCTGTGTGCCCTTGGTTCCTGCCTGGGAGGGAGGGAACAAGGCAAGGATGTGTATCCCTTTGTTTTTTTTTTCTCGTGGTGGTTGGCCACAAAGTGCTCATTTGGCTTGCCTATTCTTCTGTAGTCAGTAGCCTCAGATATGCGCTTCAACGAGATTTTCACGGAGAAAGAGGTTAAACAGGAAAAGAAACGGCAAAGAGTTATCAACTCGAGATACCGGGAAGATTACATTGAGCCTGCACTATACCGGGCCATCATGGAGTAGGTGCTTCCAGGGGCCAAGAGATTCCCAGCCATCAAGGCAAGAGCACTCTAGGGGTTCCACAGCACAGCAGACACTTGGAACTCCGAAGTCTCTAAAATGAAGTTGTAAAATGAAAAGGAAAGAAATCACACCCCATCATCTTCTCATCCCACCTTCATCGCATTCTGCTCTAGTGAAAGGACAAGCCATTCTTGGACACGTAACAGCACTCGCTGAGCACTGGAATGCTGTGGCTGCATTGTCTCCACTCTCTAATGGGGTCAACTATGCTGGCTGGGTTGGTTGCCCTTTTCCAGGCCTAGGACATAGCTTCCTAACGATCACCCGCACCAACTAGGAAGAGGTGCTGGTGCTTGCCCCTTTCCCCTTCCTCCCTTTTGTATTTATGTATGTGTGTGTGAGCGCGTGTGCGTGTGTGTGCGTTTGGTCTGGACCAGCTTCTGCCAGCCCCTGGCCTTTACTTTCTTCCTTGCCTATCCAGGGCAAACAAAATGTGAAATTCTGCCCTCAGCTGAGCTGAGTAAGGGCCCATGGGGTTGGCTGGAGATGGATGTGGCATCTGTCTGTCCCTGGAACTGCCTCAAGCATGTGCTGGCAAAGCTGCAGTATTGTGATGCTAAGGAGTTAATGCCACCTCTTTGTCACCTCTTGAAGGAGAAGATAGGGGTAATATGGGTGTGTGCCCACATCTCTCTAGGCACAGAACCCCTGTGGCACAGTATTAGAGGGTGCGGGTGGGGAATAATCTGAAGGGGCATCTTAATATGGAAGCAGGCAGAGCCTGGTGGGTGATTCTGTCAACAGAAAATTGTAATCATGCAGGGGCTGGGAGGGTTAAGATGAACTGGGGCCACTGGGGCCAGGGGCAGGTTTGCCCTTGGTCTGGGGGTGGGAGGGAGTGGATTTGGGAGGGGGAGGGTGGGACTGGAGGGCAACACTGATGGGGTTAAACAGGTTTATGCTCCTCATGAATTTGCCTGGGCCCAGGATTGGAGGGCTTCGCACCTGTACCCTGTGTATACAAGAATCAGATTTATAATACTCCCGTTTTTTGTTACGTATGAACGCTATAAACCAAATTATTTTGAAAACTGGTGCATCACCTTGTCCTTAGCAATAAAACATGTTGAGCAGAGGATTGCCTGTGTCTGCCCCAAGGAGCCTGAGTGGCCCAGGGTCAGGCCAGTGGTGTATCTAGAGTCACAGGCTCTGGAGCAGGGCCATGTATTTTAAGAAGTCATTCTGGAAAGACTGGGAAGCTGTCCTAAAGAGATAGGTTCCTTGTCAAGTTCTGGTCCTGTGGCTTTGTACTAGGCTAAGCATGGTAGGACATGGGGAGCAGAGGCACCTCTGGCCATGAGCACTTTTTGCTTCCCCTGCCTTAGAGATGGGAAGGAGGTAATAAAGAGCAGACTACCACTTAGCCTAGGGAACTGAATTTGCTCTCACTTCTATTCCACCTCATTGAGCTGGTCAACTTCATGCCGGAGTCTGCGTTCCATACAAATTGTAGAACCAGCTTGAAAGGAAGGGGGTACATTTTATGTGCTTAAAGAGCAAGGGACTCAAACCCCAGAGGTATGGGTTCCTGAAGCTCTAAGTTGCCTGTTGGTGAGAAGTTTCCCTGGAGGAAGAGCCAGTCCCCTTGCCTGCTGAGTTCCTGAGGTCCAGGTGAACAGGGATAGAGTGGCAGCAGGCCATGGAGGGCCAGTGAATAGGTACAGGGCACAACAGAGCTGCTCTAGCTGGTCCTTGGATGGCTAGGTACTTCCTGTTTCATGGCCCTGTCCAGGTGTAGGAGCAGCTCAGCAAGTCAATGCTTGTGTCCTGGGGCTTGGGAGGTGGCTACTTTCTGGGTGTCTTATTGGGGGAGGGGGAGGAGCAGCAGGTTTCAAAGATACTTCTCTATGCCAACTCCTTCTAGGGGCCAAGAAAGGGAGGTTGGCTTTTTGGTGAGGCACCCAGTGATTCCCAGGGGATACTGTAGGGAAGATAGGGTGGAGGCAAGCCTTAATGGATTGGTGAGCCCTGGGAGCACATACATTTGGAGGGAAGGAACACATCTCCAGCTTAGCAGGGTCCCAGATCTACCTTCACTGACCCCACCTTTCTTGGAGGACCTGCAGAGTTCTTAACTATTTTTGTAGAAACTACTTTTTACTTTGGTTAGTCTAATAACTCTGGGGAAACCGAAGTTTAAAGAGGTAGAGATTTTCTTAAATCACACGGAATAGGCCGTTCTCTCCCTGCCTGCCAGTGCAGTCAAGCTCAGGCCTCAGAGGACCGATTCCAGGGAAGGGAAAGCCAAGCCAGCCTGTCTTAGGCAGGCTTCTAGAGGCCTTTTTGCCAGGGCAAACTGCCCTCCTTTGGTAAGGTAGCGTCTTTGGCTTGGTAACCAAGGATCGCAGCTGGACAGTTCCTCCTCCTACCGGAGGAATAAACATTTGAAATTGTGCCCCAGGCAAATGACGGGGCTCAGGTGCTGCAATGAGGCTGTACAAGACAGCTGGGACCTTCAGAGCTGCAAAGGCTAGATGAGATGGGGCAGGGCGGAGTGGTCCTGTGTCCCGACACAATTTTCTGCGAGGCTCTGAAATTGGTAATACAGGAACAGCCTGGGATCCCCGTCCCTTACCCCATAGGATTGGGCAGGGTCGCCCAGTTCATGGATGTCAAAGGCCATGGGCCTCAGGGAACGAATTGGCAGAGTTCCTCGGCGTGGAGTGACCGTGGCCATCCTGCATATTGCGCCCGGGAGGCTACCCGCCCCCCCAAACCCTCCCCATTTCCCCCGTCCCCATCACCCGCACCGGCAATTAAGCAGACTCTGGAGAGGCTCGGTGATCCCAGCGGACAGCGGACCGCGAACCCTGTGGGCATTGGACGTCCGCATCCCGAACGCGCGTTCTCTGGGGCGTGAAGCCGGGGGAGGAGGATTCCTCGAGGCGTTGAGCGTGCTCCGGGGAGACGAGGCGAGGGTGCCTGCGCTGAACAAGCTGGCGCGGTCGCGCTGCGCCCGCGCGTAAGCCTGCATGGTCTGCAGCTCCGTACCCCCCGAAGCTCCAGTCCGCGCCCGCAGTCGGGTCGGAAAACTCGGGGGTCCTGTACTATTGGGCTGCTGTGGGCTGTGACCGCCCACTGCCTGCAGCGCATCTCTGCATTGGTCAGCCTCGCGCCCCGCCCGGCTCCCGCACGCCGATTGGCCGGGAATGCCCGACCGCGGGCAAGGGCGCTGAGGCGGAGAGCAGGATTGGCAGGATTG